AATTTATTTAACTATTAATGCATTTAACTATTTTAATTTGAAATTAGCAATATATAAAATCATTAAATCTAATTATAATAAAATATAGTATTATAATTTATAATGAAAATGATGTTTTCACATTTTGATAGCTGCAAAAAAGGGGCTAAATATAGGCAATATTATATACGGACACAAAAAAATTTTCCTGCGAAGATCCATTCGTGGCAGGCACCGTGTTATCAGTTTTATGGACTGCTGATAACGCGTTGCCTCTTTTTCAATTTTTATAGTTTTTTCTTTACCGGTTCACCGTCATCATTACTCACKCAATTTTTTTTTCTGAATTGCGATTATTTACTACTCCGTTCCCGTCCTTTCTATTGTAAATATATTTCACTTTATCTCAGAAAAAAAAAATGAATTCTAAACTATTATTCTTGAGCTCAAAAATTATTTTTAGGAATCAAAGTAGAACGTTCACTGCCTCTTACGCAAAATTCACCAAAGGCAATGATGAAACGGGTACTAAAAAATCACCTTTTTTAATTTTTAATTAATTCTAGATAGTGTTCAAAAAATGTATACTTTTCATGAATTCTTTGCTTTATACAAGGGCTGCTATTATACTTATGAAAATCAATGAATTGTGATATTGTTTTAAATGTATTATTTATTCGAACATTTATTAATATTAGGTGATCTTTCCTTTAAAAAATGTTTGTTTCATTGTATCCAATGTATCAAATTCTTAAGTACCTATATATAAAACACTATAATTTATTATATAATAAAATTATAGAACTCCCTAYACAAATATGTTAASGTCAACTAAWATGTAATCAATATTGTTAAGCTAAGATATTCATGAATTTAAAATTAAAAACTTCTAAGGTATATAGGTTAATAATATTATAGCAGTATTTCAGTGATATACCTATCTATAAAGGTGTCAAAATACCTTGAAATGMTATGTAATTGTTATCTAACCACGACCCCTCACACATAATTAGAATATAAAATATGTATAATAACATTTTAAAAATAAAGAAATTAATTTTAATATATTTTTTTACACCTATATGAAAAATAGCGATTTACAATCTGTACATATAATGGAACAATAACCAAATTTAATATTTAATATAAAATCAAATATGGCATGAATGCCACAATTAAGGGAATGCACATGCGTAATATTTTTGTGTACTTGGTAGTTAGAGTAGTTAGACCAATATGTCTCTTATACAATTAACAACAAATTAGTAACCTATACAATTAGTGTTTTAGATTGAGTGGGTGGGTTTTATTTGTAACAGATATTAGGACTAGTAGTTTTTTATATTTTTAGGGTATTACTGATTTGTTGAATGTTGGTGAAGACTGTGACTTATGAAAGAGTAGCATTATTCAATGAAATAACAATGCAGTTGCTCGGTGTAATTGAACATTTAGTAAACCTTACTTAGTGGCTAAGGCTAGGTGTCACTAGACCACTAAGTTGCAGAGCCACAGTGTAGATTTTGAACATGCAATTCATAAATACAATCATTTTGAAGAACAAAGAAATAAAATATATGTAATATAACCTACTAAATATATGAGATTGGAATGGACATTACCACAGCACTCCGAGATACATATTTACGAGCATATTTAGCTTTAAAATGTCAAGGTAAAAAAATTGTAWTATGTATGATCATGAATAGTAAATTTATTAAATCTTTACTTGTCATGTGTATGTCATAAAATTATAAAAAGTAACTATAAAATCGTATTATATATCTAATAAAATAAAATATGATTTTGTTTAGATTAATAAACATATTTAATGTAAGTACTAGAAAATAATTAAAATAATATTTTTATAATGGTTTTTCAGGTATTTTTATTTTAGGATTTCCTAATCCATTGGATTTAGCTACTGGTATTGAAAAAAAAGAAATGCCCTTGCGTCTAGCTGGAAATGATGTAAGTTTATTTAAACATTTAGTTAACTAATAATTTTTTTTTACAATGGCATACCTAGAATTTATGATTGTCAATGAGGGGGTGGGGGTGGAGACAAACCAAAAATTTCATGTTTGTCTATTCACATAAATTACAAATTACTTTTATCACATTTAAAAATTCACCATTAATTTATGTATTGTTTCTATTTTTAAAAGCAAATAAAATATCACACATTAAGTGAAGGTAGTCAATTGATTTATTTATCAATAACATTGTCAAAAACATTTTTTTTTTTTTTAAGGTATTACAAATAGAATACATGTATGAGTCTTTCTTCTCTATTAATCAATTTGGTTTCAAAAAGAATGTCTACAGAACTGAACTTCTTATGATACATTATATTTAAAAGATATTGAAACCAATTTCAAAATAATGGTATTTTTCTTAGATATGCAAAAAGATTTCAATTATCTTTATCATTAATTATTTCTTAAAAAATTATATGTTAGATATTTGGGATACCTCATAATCTGTTGAAT